AAGGACACACAAAACGACTGCAAAGACGCAGAAAACACCCACTGAAGACACCCAAAAGGACGACAATCAACTAAAATGACCACAAAGACGCACAAAGTGACAACAAAGAGAAAACAACTACTGAAGCCGAGCACAGCACAACAGCGATGAATATGAATAGACTCAACACAAAGTGCTGCAGACATGTAGGACCTGCTGACTGACCTGCTGGAACACAGATCCAGGATCAGATCTCCGTCGGTGGTCGAGTCCATCCTCTTGTTTCCAGGATCCTCGGTCAGCTTGTAGCACTGAAAGTCACTGAGGAGGTGAAGGAGGAGCTCGATTACCACCAAAGACTTTAACAACAATAGATCCAATAAATGATGAATTTTACATGAGTCAGGTCAGATTTGCAAAGTTTTCTTTTGCTTTTCTTCACATAATTCAGTTTTATTTTAAATCTTATTGTCTCAGGAGAAGCAGCAGCGATAGTTGGACAAACTTCAGCCCAGTTCACCTCCATGTGGTGCGTTCAGGAACACCACAGCAGCAGGAGTCCCCATTAAAATAAGTTAAACAGCCAAAGGTTCCTGAAGCTTCTCGACTCTTTATCAGGAGCAGAAATGAGGAAAATGGCCTCCTGCTGTTGATTTTGTTGCTGAGCTACATCATCAGACACAAACGTGGCTCTTCACTGACTCCACTGACCTTTCCCTTAAACTAGAGACCAGCTTCTGAACCACTGACTCGACACCGAGGCCTCAGTTAGCAAACAGGAAATACTTTCACTCATTTTATAATCAGCATCTCCGTGTACAAGAAGCTGAGTATTTCTACATTAGCATGAGTTCTCTGGAGACTGTTCTCGCGTTATTTCTTCACTGCAGTCACCAGCGGCTCCATCGTGGGTCTTATTCGGAGGCAAACTGAGCTGCAGGTGAGTCCACACAGCGTCATCACTTCCTGTCACCTGTCGTTGTCGTTGTGGACGTCCTGCGTTCCCCAGCAGAGCTGCCTCCTCCTCCACTGGGCCATGTGGGGCAGAACATCTCCGTCTGCAGGGTTCAGAAACACCACGGAAACGTTCATACGGAGAACACGACAGCTCATTCAGAAAGTTAAAATGCTGTGTTCAAGCAGGAGACAGGTTTACAAACTGGTTGAGACTTCATGGTTCTCAGGCTTTTTAGCCTTTATGAGAAAACACTGAAGGACACGTTCTACACTTAAAACCAGGATTGTTAAAAACAGGAGATGTTTTCCAGACTTACAAATCACTGCATGGTTTTTGCCACTCAGCTGCTCCCAAACGGTTTTCTATAATTAGCATTAGCTTCACTACAATTAAACACTTTAGCTGCTGAACAAAAGATGAAAGTAACCCAAACCAAACATTTAGCTCCTAAACAGTCCTTTAAATTAAATAAACTTCTATGACTTGTCTTGGTTTGTGACTGTTTGTGAAACTAAAATGAACTGATGCTAAATTAGATTGCTAAAAGCTAAACTTAACAGCTAGCTAAAGTAATTAAAGCTCTTTTAGCTGCTAAACTGAGCTGTTAGCTAACTTTAACGAAACTTTATCAGCCAATGAACTGAACAGCTAGCTAACTTGAATAAAGCTATTTTAGCAGCTAAACCAATCTACTAGCTAACCCGAATAAATATATTTTAGCTACTAAGCTCAACTCTTAGCTAAACTGAACATAACTGTTTGAGCTGTGAACTGTTAGCTACCTTGAGGTAAACTTTTTTAGCTGCTAAAATGAACCGTTAGCTCACCCTGACCAAATCAGTTCAGGTAATTTTAGTTAATTTATTGAATTTAAAGGTCCAGGCATCGTGTTTGCTTGAACAGATTACTAGCCGCTAAGCTCATGTGCTAACTGACGTGAACCAACTGAGCGACCAACTAAAACACGACCAAGTTTCTGTTCAGCTGAACTCGTAGGTGGATTCTGTAGGAACCTATTCACTGTGGTATCATCTTCTTTTCCCAACTTCAACAACAGATTACTGTCTGTTTGCTGTTGGTGCCGTTTGAAGACGATGACTTTGCGCGACTGTTTGTCAGATTACGTCACATCACTGCTCAGCCTCAGTGGGATCAATAATTTACCTGAAGTGATTTTAGCGGCGCGATGTGAACTCACCGGTGTGCAGAGAAGCATCTTCTGGGAAATCAACGTCCAGCATGAGGTCATCGTCGGCCAGATCACAGTCCAGGTTGTTCAGGATGTCCTGCAGGAAACCAGAAAACACAGACTCAGTGTTTTATCTGCTGGGTTGTCTGAATACTGCCAATAAAACACAGCAAACCAAAGTGGACAGCAGCAGAAAGCTCCACCACACTGAGGTTTAAAGTCAATAGAAGTCATTATTCTGACCTCAGACACAAAACAACACACTGTGGATTGAAGGGACACGAGTCCAGCTGCTGGTCGAAGCTCCACCAACAAACTGACAAACAAATTAAAACTCCATCAGTAACAGTTGAAAACAGAGGACTGGAGACATGAGTCCGGATCTCGTTAAGGCCTCGGCCATCAGTCTCTGAGCTCGTTACTGAGACAGCAGCTCATTAACTGAACAGTAATAACGTCTGCAGAGGAGCTGCAGCTGAACTCAGCATTTATCAAACCTGAATCCTTTACTGGATGCTGTTTAGTTTAGTTTGAATCATTTGCAGTTAACCAACATTATAAACAACAAACTTTGTGGATGTCGTTGATGAAGAAAAGACAGAAATCTCAGAAGGTTTAGTGGCAGTTCCTAAATTAATCAACATTTACCCTTTCAGCTTTAAAAATACAAATAAAAATGCTAAAATAAAACGATTATAATCGTTGGCTTTTTAATTGAACATATGATGTGAGACGTGCAGTTTGGAAAATCAAAGCTTTAAATCGTGATGTTTTATCAAAATCTCTCTATTTTTATACGTCTTATTTAAAAAGAAAACATAAAATCTGAGCTCCTGAGTGAAGCCATGACTGACTGAGCTGCCACCGACAGTCAGGTGACCACGGTTCAGCGTGTCCAGGTCGACCTGCGGCTGTGTTCATACATTAAAAGTGTGAGTAGTTAAATATCTACAGCACATAGAGCCGGTGTGGGTAACACCTGGAGAAACGCTGGACATCAGAAGGACCAACCAAACAGACCAGCTGTAAGTAACGAAGTGAACACTAGAGGGAGCCAGAGGGCTTCTGTTGGACGACGGTGCAGAATAAAAGATCAGATAAAATCCTGCTTGGATCTCTGGTTCTGGAGGATCAAAGTGTGGATTTCACCTCTTAGCTGTTAACACGTAAACCCACCGACAGGTTACAGAGGTGAAGAACTGATAGAACTCCACCGTTCATCTTCCAGAAGCTGTAGAGACAGTCAGGATCTCTGGATGTTCAACCGTCTGACGTGTCGTGTGCGTTGTGTGGTTCGGTCACGAACACTAAACCTAAAATCCTGATGTTTTATAATAAAGTCGGCTCGCTAGTGGACAATAACGCTCAAACAGACGCTGCTTTTACTGATATCTGTCATTAACTAATGAGAATATGTTGTTTTCTAGATCATTTCACTCCTCTGAAGAAGCAGCATCAGTGTTTGTCGGCCTCTTTTGTCTCGCTAATATCTCCAGCAGCACTGTTTTTCAGAAACAATCGATTTTTCCATCAGTGTGTCCGATCAGGTTCATCCGTCTCACATCTGAAAACAGACGGATTTTATCAACGACGGCACAAATAAACACCGACAGCCTGATTGTAATGAGACATACACAGTACAGCAGTAAAACTAGTTGATCAATCAGTCGATTAACCGTAAATTAACAGGAACTGATCAAGACCTTTAAACCAAAAAGACAAACACTTTGAGAATTTGATGCTGTTTTTGATCCTGACAGTAAACTGATCGTCTTCAGACCAAACAAGACCTTAAATGTTGGTCTGCAGGTGATTATAATCCAACAGGCTTCCTCCTTCTCATCACGCTTGTTGTGGTTCCACAGAGCTGCAGGACTTTATATTGCAGTGAAACAAGAAGAAACATGAGACAGGAGCGAAGTAACTGCTGCCTGGAGTTAAACATCTGAAACTGAAGCTAGTCTGGATGAGGAGCAGCTGTGTCCGAACACGCGGCGGCTGAGGAGGCAGGAGGAGGCTTTAACTCCACCTGCTGGACTCCAGTTCAGACTCGTCTGACATTTAACTTCAGTTTCTGCCTGTTTGACTGGATTCTCCGCTGCTGGAGTTCAACTGAACCCAAAAACTGGCCTCAAGTGGAGCGAAGAGGCCGAAGAGAGGCGACGCCACGCGAATGTCAAACACTCTGCTTTTGTCTTCTGCTCTTTTCTCTCCGAGGCTGATTGAAGAGGCATGAAATGAGCTGAACGACACCAGGAGACGCTCTCTGACGCTACCACAGTGCTGAAATAACGAGTTCACACGCTGGGACACAGCATTAGATTCATTAATTAGATCAAATCTGATCTTTTTATTGACTCAGCATCATCTGCTTCAGTCTTCCAGCTTCTGCAGTTAGTTTACATGTGAAAAAAGCTGCTAATTAAACCAAACTGAAGTCTGTATCGTACAGACGAACCACTCAGAATACACAAATACAGGAAATTAAACACTTAGAAGTGCTGCTGTTGATTTAGGGCTAATGACAGTGTCTGCAGACTACATTATATTGATAATGAAAGTAGCAAAAATGCCAAATATTTGATGGATTTTTGATGTTTTATGAGCAAAACATGTCATTAAGTCAATTGTTATTATGAATTCAATAATTAACGTCCCTGTGATAATACTGTCAGAGCCGTTAAACTGAGAAAAGGAACAAAGTCTGAGCAGAACATGTAAATATTCACTAAATCGATGCTAATCTGAATCTAAGAAATCTGATTTGTTCTTCCCACAGCAGCGCCCCCTACATGTGGATATAAAATGTAATTTATATATTGCACTACTGCCAGTGTATGCAGGTGGATTTTTATATGTTTTATGGCACTAACACACAGGTGAGAGAGAAACACCTTTCCTGTTTCTCTGTATGTCCTGAATATATCGATAAAAACCTTCTGTTCTATTAATTTATGCCCTCAAAGCCTTAAACGCTCCTCTTAATTCATTTCTCGTTTGTTCAGTTAGAAACTCGGCCTTACGATGCTGTTGAGGTCGGAGTCGAAGCTCCCGATGTGGTGGGTGGTGTTGCTGTTGGTGTGGATGGAGGCGGTGGTGGCGGCGCCCCCTAGTGGCTCCAGACCCTCCTCGTCCCACATGTAGGTCCCACCGGAACCACAGCTGTCGGAGGGGGACAAGTCCAAGGACGAGCCGCCCTGCAGAGGACAGAGGAGCTGCAGTTTGTGTCATGAAACTCTCCACCTGCTCTCATTTCAAACATTCAGCCTCCTGCTTTGTCTTCTGACTGCAGTGTGAAGAGGAAAATCGTTCACGCCTGTCTGCCACGTTCAGCGCTTCGCCCCGACCATCTGTTCAGCGCCGACAGATCATTTAAAATGTGTTTGGCCGCTGCACCCTGCGGACAGCGTGACTGATGCGGCGCTGCGTTTTCATGGGTGGAGTCCATGAGCCAAACGGCTGCACCTAAAAAGCGTGAGTCAACGACCAGGACACGCCTCAGACCTGCATGTTAACGTCATGTAAAGCTTGTGACATGTCGTGTATAATATGAGACACGTTCTTCTGAAAAATGAAGGATTGAAACGTGGAGGTCGTTTGTGTAATTGGGGAGTGTTGCATTATGGGTTGTTTGTGGTGCTAATGTTGCTCCGCTAGCAAGTACTTTCAGTGTATTTTAGTGTTAATGATTGTGGGAATGATGTTAATGATTTACTGTTATTTGATTAATTGTATGAACAGATAAGGTGGAAGAAGAAGGTCGTGCAGGTCAGTAAATGTACCACAGACCAGCTGCAATACCTGGTTGTTCCACCAGGTGGAGCCTCTTACTGTCTGTAACAAAGATCCTGATATTGATAGCATGGCGTTGCATAAAAATATCTTAACCGATAAGACAGAAGAAGAAGGTCGTGTATGTCAGTAAATGTACCACAGAGCAGCTGTAGTACCTGGTTGTTCCACCAGGTGGAGCCTCTCACTGTCTAATCCTGTAGAGACCAGAGGAGGCGTCTACAGACTACAGCTCATGGTGGCAGCAGAGAGCATTGTGGGAGTTTAGCAGCAACGGGACCATGACAGAGACTCTGAGGAGGTTCAGGACCTTCGACATCAGGTGACACACCTGCCTATCGGTTACACTCGTACACCTGACCCGAGACTTTGCACCACAGATTTTAGATTAGTGAAGTTAACAGGAGGCTTCTGTTTGGTTCTGGTACCTGCTCGTGGTATTCTGGGTGACTGGACCTCCTCCTGCGGGTCAGCCGATGCTCTCCTCGTTCACCTGGACGCAGACGGGATTATAAGAACGTTTAACATGTTGGCAGACTTTTCCTGCGTCGAGCATCACTCGTGTAAAACCCACCGTCCAGTCTGACGCCGGTCCAATCCAAGCCGTCCTCCAGGAAACACAGCGCCGTCGCCTTGGTGACGCCGTTGACAGCGGCCGGCTTGTCGTCATTGAACCTGGAACACGATTGGTCGAGCCCTGAGTCTTCCTCGTCGTTTTTGGAGGAGAGCAGCAGAATGCCGACGCCTCCGTTACCTGCGAACACGAAGAAACCGGATCAGCCGGAACCGATGCACTGATCCTCTGCAGCCAGAGTTAGCATCAGGCCTTTATTCCAACTGCTAGCGATGAATTCTGACGGTGACGCTGAGAACAACTGGACTTTGGAGCAGTTTTGGACAAATTCAGGTTATTTTGGAAGCTTTAAGTTATTTTTGGTCTTGTTTGTGTCTTGTAACCTCGGACACATTTCTAGTCTTTCTCAACCAGTTTGAAGCCAACGTTTGAAGAAGTTTCGAAATGTTTGAACGATCAGGGATAGACTGAGTCATTCTGGACACTTGAGTTGTTTTGGAGAAGTTTTAAGTCATTTTAGACAAATGCAAAAATGTTGGGCATTTTAATTTTGATAAATAATCAAAGAAAGGTTTTACGTTTTCGTTCTAACTGTATCATTCTGTACAGAAGACGTCTCTGAGTTCTCGCTCCCTCCTCTTGTTCTGGTTCTACAGAGCTGCAGGACTTGATGTTGCAGTGAAAACTTAACCCGAGTGAGGAAACATGAGACGGGAGCAGAAAAAAACCCAAAAGCACACAGTTCAAATTGCAAAACTCCAGCAGAAAATCCAACACATGCAGCAGCTACCGTGGTCCAGCGAGCGAACTCCCTCACCGAGGTTGTCGAAGTCGTCCATGTACTCCTGACTGGTGTCGTTTCTGTCCAGAGACGAGGTGGAGGACAGGGACATGTCCTCCAGCGTCTCCCCCACGATGGACACCTCTCCCTGGAACACGGGCTCGGCAGACAGCCCCTCTGGGTCTGGAGCATCGGGGGAGTTCTCTACGGGGACAGGATGGGGAGTCAGTGTTCGGACTGTGACGCCTGATTGGACCTAAAACTGATTCAATCTGTTTTTAACTCCTGAAAATTATTAAAAGACCAAAGTTACCACAAAGAAACACAAAACCGCCACAGATGGAATGGTTGTAGAGGACATGAGCAGAGAACAGGGTGAGCGACACCTGGATGGATGTAAGTGAAGCACAACCCACCGTTGGCTCTGATTGAGGTCATTTTGTGGGTTTTTTGTAATTTCGGAGTCTTTGCGGGAATTTTGCCTGTTTTTGTTGTAGTTTTGTGTCATTGTGGTAGTTTTGGCCTTTTTGTGTTGATTTTGTCTCTCTTTGTGGTAATTTTGCATCTTTTATGTTGACCTGGTGTCAGGTTCTACCAGAACCCAGATGTGTTCTTCCTCCTAAATGTCATGTGTCTATCTGCGGTACTGATGAAGTTCTGAGGCTCAGAAATGATGGAAAAAGTCCATTAAAGTGATCAATCTGGACCCTCCTCTGTGGAACTCTGGAACATTCACAGTCTGAAGGTCTGGTCAGGAGATAAAGGTGCTGCAGATACAGAACCAGATGTTCTGAGGAGGTTCTGGTTGTTTTTATTGAAATGATCCAAATAAAGGTAAAGGGACGAACCGGGGCTGTTCTCTGTGGTCGACGGCGTCTCCACCGAGTCTCTCCGTCCATTTAGTCCTCGGTTTATTTCACCTCCACTCTCATTGGTCGGAGTCACTCGGAGGGGGCGGGACTGCTTCATGAGTGACGGGCGGGACAGCTTATAGCTGATGCCGCTGGGCTTGGAGGCGGGGCCAAGGCTGGGTAGGAGGGGCTTCTTCAAGGCCGCTGGAGGCAGGAGGGAGGGGACGCCTGACCTCCCTTTGACCCCTCCCCCACCTCGAGCTCCTCCCTCTGGTGGTTTTCTGGGCGGAGCCTGGGCAGAGGACGCCTTGTTGCCATGGTAGCGGGCGACGGTGGGGGAGGAGGAGGTAGGGGAGGGGGTGAGGGTGGGGGAGGGCTGCCGTCGGACCTGGGTGAGGCTCCGCGAGCGAAAGCGGTCGTTCTCGGTCAGCTGGACGGAGGGGGCGGAGCCAAGGCTGTCGCTGGAGTACGAGCGGCTGGCCGATGCCTTCTTCTGGAGGGGCGACCCGGACCGAGATCCAGGACCAGAACTGGGCCTGGAACCGCCGGGTCGACCAAAACCCTGCGGCTGCCTGAGGGTGCCTCGAGGCTTGGAAACGCCGTTCAGGGTCCGTTTGGGGAGTCCGGACGCCGGCGGGCTCAGTCTGGAGCCACTTTTAGAAGCAGGCAGAGTTCTGGGGCTCGACTGTGGCGATGGCGAGGATGATGTCGCAGGTTGGCCGAAGCCACGCCCCTTTCCTGGAGGGGGCGTGGTTGCCTTTTTGCCCTGCGGTGACGGCGGCTGCGGGACGTTCTTCGCCTCCCCGTCCTCCGTCGCTCCGCCCTCCTTCCTCCATTTCGCGGGGAAGGAACTCGGCACTCTGATGAAGCCGTTCTGCCGGACGGCGGAGGGCGGCGCCGTGACGGTGCCGTTGACCCCCACCGGTCCGGGATGGTGGTAGAACCCGTTGGTGAGGCGGGTGCTGGCAGCAGGGGCGGCGCCGGACGCAGCCGGAGCCGTCTGAGATCTGGGCCGCGAGCCGAACTTGGGCAGCCTAGAAACCATGGTCGGCATGGTGATGGTGGGAGGGTCTACGAGAGGCGGGGCTGACATCAGGCCACGCCCCCTTCACCATGGAGACACTGAGCGACAGCAGCTGGAGGAGAGAAGAAGACAAAGGAGGATTTAAACAGAGCTGCAGCGTTGACATGATGAAACAATATTTAGAGTGAAAGATAATTAAAAACCATAATAATGATCAATTATCTGCAATACTCCTGGACGACAAGATACCGATCAAAGTTCTGTGAGTTTTTCAGGGCTTCTTGGGTTTTGTTTTTTTTTGACAAATTAATTAAGAAATAATAAAAGTAACTGAGTAGTGGTTGGTTTCTGTAAATATAAACATGATTCTTGTATTGAAGTCATCTGAATTTCTCTCAAAGGGTCAACGTGACGAGTCAAATAAAGATTTGGGTTTTTCTAGAAAACAGGACGATCAGGTAAAGACATACATTAAACAATTTGCTTATTGAAAATGAACTATTCTGATTAATTAGAACATTTAGGTCATTTTCTGAAGAAAAAATGTCAAAAATTTGATGGATTTTGGTCCAAAAATGTGAAAAAAAAATGCAAATTTAGTTTCTTCTTATGTTTTATACACAAAATAATCGACAATTAAAATAAGCAGCAGCGACACTGAACATAGAAACACAAAGAGAAGTATGTAAATGATCACAGGCTACGAGAAATACGAACATGAGTGAGGTTAAAATGTTACACACTTAAAAAAAACAGATTTTGGTTGTAAATCATGAAGATTTCCTGATTTTCCCTTTTTTTTCATAACAACACATAATAAGGACGGACACAACTTTGGAAATATTTCAGTTTTTTACAGACAAAATAATTCACAAAAAAAAATATTGGATGGTTTCAGCCACGAGGACGATCAGACACAGGAAATATAAACGACAGGTAAATATGAGCAGCAGGACATGAAGGCAGGAAGCTCGGAGGCAGATGTTGTATACGTTCATAGGTTATGTACAGGACTAGTTATATATTCTATATAAATACTGGTACGAACAGGCTGCTTCATCACAGCTGTCATCAAAAACTAAAACCTTCAGTTCAAAGGCTTCACAGCATTCAGAGACAACATTTGGAAATCACTGCTTCTTTCTCTTTGGGTCAAAACGAAGCTGAACGGACTCCACACGCCACGAGTTGAGTCCGGATGTTTGAGACCTGCAGAGGTTTGAACCTGCAGAGCTGCTCAGGAGCTGAATTACAGTCCTGAGGGAGTGGAAAACCCCGGAGAGGAGCCACCCGCTGGTGATGAACGGCCCGGGCACGCTTCACCTGCACTGAACGGCAGCCAAGCTCACCGTGAGAGTGTGTGTGTGTGTGTGTGTGTGTGTGTGTGTGTGTGTGTGTGTGTGAGTGTGAGTGTGTTAGTGTGCGGTTTGTGTGCAGGAACACTCGAACGCACCACGCCCCTAATAAAAACAGTCAGCTGGTCCTGCAGCTCCAACTGAAAGCAGCAGATAGTAATCACATTAATGATGTTACACAAGACACACCCAACACAACGCAGACAGACACACACACACCCATCACAACATGTCTGGAACACACACACACACACACACACACACACACACACAAGCCCTGAAGCAGCAAAGGTGGAAGGAAAACACAGCAGCCGTGCTTCAGCTCTGCAGGAAATAGACGGAAAAATAGCTCAAACATCTGGAAAAAACAGAAATAAAAGGGTTGAAATATAGAAGTAGGAAAGAGTTCAGCTAAATTCATAAATAACATAAAAATAGAAGTAGATAATGGACGAAACGAGTCAGCTACAATGAGGGATAATAGAAGAATATTTGTAGGTCATGGATGGAAAATTAAAAAAAAAAAAAACAGATAAAATGAGGGATAATATAGAAAATATCTGTAGATAAAAACAAACAGCTAAAATCATGTATGTATAAAGATGTCTACAGGTAAAGGATGAAAACGTTTAAATATTCAGATGAAATGACAGAAATATAAGCAACTAATGGATAAAAAAAAAGTAAGAAAGCTGCTAAAATTTTATGGAGACTAAGAAATGTCAGTAGATAATTAATGATTTTTTTTTTTAATCAGCTAAAAATGCTAAAGACAGAAATGTCTGTAGATTAAAAAAATATTAATAAACATGGATTAAAATCAGGAATATATAAAAATGTCTACGGGTAATAGAGATTTTTAAAAAAATAAAAAACAAGTAAAATCATGGATAATAAAAATATCTGTATATAATAAATGAACACTTTGCAAAAAAATAATCTAAAATGATTAATATACAAAATACCTTTATTTGATGCATGAAAAAGGTGAAAGAGTCAACTGAAATAAAGGATGTTATAGAAATAAAAGAGAAAGTTCAATATTCAGCTACAGTGAGGGACAATATGGACATATTTGTGTCGGTGAGGGACTGATTCTGATGGATGTTATAGAAAATAACAGTCAGACTAACTCAGAACGATGATGTTCGTTAGCTGCAGGTCTTCATGGAAGCGTAACGCTAACATCTGCTAATTTGCTTGCTAATTAAAATGACATCTATAATGATGTAAAACTTGGTCGGCACCCCGTCCATTTCTTTCCCCCTTATCAGAACTCAGAGCCCAGCTGCAGGCTCGGCACCACGTGGTCCTGATGTTGTCAGAAGAACAGGAAAAACAACCTGGAGCCTCCTGAGTCACTTGTCCGCCCTGGGCCTCCGTACTCTGGACCAACCTGAGCATCACAAGCTGGAAAATAAAACCAGCTGACGGGCTTCTCGTGAACGGGACACAGGGAAGAGCAACAGCTGAAGAACTTGTGATCCGAGTTTCACCAGAACGGAAAAGGTCAGAACGTCACGGTTGCATTTATAAACCATCATCTGCACGTCCTGCAGCGCTGAAACCTCAACAATAACAAGAACCCGCTGCTGCCAGAGTCATAAGAAGATATGAATAAAGTACAGATGCTGCTACCGCTCAGCCATGAGTTCTCCTGATAGAAATAGTATTCAGTTACGTAACGGGCTGAGAAGTGCAGCACCACGCCTCTGGACCGACGGCTTCCATCACGGCCTTAAAAAAGAGGAAGATAAATTAATAAGGAGATGCTGCAGAACGCTGAGTCACCACTTCCTCGCCGCTGTGTCACAGTCACATTACAGAGTCATTACAAACCCCTACCAACAACAACAACAACAACAACAACAACAACAACAACAGAGGCTCTGGAGCTCAAAGTCAAACAGGAACGTCGAGTCTGCAGCTCAGCAAAGCGTCAGATAAACACAGACCTGAGCAGCATCACGGGACGCTTTAATAACATCTTTTACACGATGCACTCAAAATACTCTTTAGGAGTCAACTCTGCTGCCTCGGCGAGCTCAGGCCACCTCAGCTCCACCCGAACATCTCTGTGGTTCCAGTTACATGACAGTTAGGTGACGGTGACTGTACAGCAATCTGACAACAACCAATCACCAGCCCAGCAGTTCAGTAAAAAC